AACCCTCGTACTTGTTTTTTTCTTTCTGATAGATGTTTATCTAAGTTTGGGAAATGAAACAAGTCAATGGTTGAAAGATCTGGCAAAATTTGTTGGTGTGACAAAACATTAACTTTCTGTTTATCCCCAAAACTCCTTTACTCTTCATGGCCTGTGGGTTTGGACGCTGTCAAGAATAAATTTAATGTAGTGGATTACTCATTCTGTTTCCTTCCTCCCATAAACCTTTAATTTTTTTTGCAAAAAAATTGTTTTCTAGACTCCCCCAGAAATTGAACTTCTTCCCCGAATATGAATTTGAACAATAAGATTACTAATGTTTTAGAAAAAAGCATATAAAGCCGATTTTGTGCTTTTGCAATTCTTTGCTCTTTTTAAGCCTTTGCAGTTTTGTCAAGTGCATCTTATTGTAAATTTGCTTTGAGGGTTTAAAAGCAAAATGGATTCAAGTTTCATTATCTGTTTGAATTTCAGACAAACGTGGATAAGAACAATTTTTGATTTTTTAAAAGAATTGTTTAGATATTCCTACACGCCGTCGTGTTCACTCATTTTTCAAAATATTGGGTGACCTTTCAGTGTTAAACGTTTTTACCCACCAAATGTTTCTTTACAACAGTGTGAACTACCCCCAAAATGATTTCTATCAATTTTGCTATGTTTCTGTCAGTGTCTTAAAGTCAATAAAACATAATCAGTGATAATTTGTTGAATTTTCGCAAATATACATTGGTTGTTGTAAGTCCTTGTTGCCAAGGACGGTACCCATTTTTGATGCCCATTATATAATTTTTGTTCATTGAAATCCACTTGTTCACGTGTCTATAAAACAGACAATGGTTGCTGTAAATTTCACATACTTCAGGTAATATATTTTTGGGATATTAACAAGTTTTACAGCTGATTTAATGAAGCGTTTAATTTTACTCTAGTTTACTGATTCTTGACCATTCATTTTTAATGCAGTGTCTCGAATAGCCCTTGTTTTCCAGCTTCCCACAATGAAATAATGCGATGAAAATTGGTCACATAACCTGTTATCAATTCATTAAAGACTCAATAATGAGAGAAAGTCAAGTTTAATGTCATATGATTTCTATGTTGTATGTCATCGAGCTAATGACATTATTTATTGAACGTCCCTCGTATTTCATTTATAAAAAAAAATATTCATATTTTTAACGTAATGACTATACAGCCATGTGTGTGAAGGGAGGGGTGGGGGTTAGAAACAACACTGTGACAGAAACTTGAGTTTGAATTGGATTTACATGTTTATACCTTCTATTTGGAAGTTCTAAATATTCGTGTGTACACTGCAATGTAGAAATGTCACACACAGTCATAAAGTACACATATGTATCTAGGAATAAAATATTTGAGTAAAAGAGTACTGCTTAGAGAATGAAAAATGTACAAATACAAATATTTTTGGCGCAAACAAAAATTACAACAAGCAAATTCAAAGAATTATGGTCCCCGCTTTAGGTGTTGTCTTTGTGGGTCGGATGTCATTTTTATGACATATTTTTTCAAATCTTGTCACATGTAATGCATATGGCATATATGAAATTTAAAGCCCTTTCTCTTCTCAATCCAAAGATATATAGAAATGAAACACCGATGACCCCGTATGGCAAAATAGCGAAGATTAAACTTTTCTTAAATGCAAATTAAATATATTGGTACCCAAAGTAGGATCTAATCACAAAAATACGATTGTGCAGTATGAAAGCCCTAGCACCATCTGTTCAAAAATTATGGCCAGGGATAAGTTTTTGAAAGGTTGGTCAAATTCCATGGTCAAAGGGTCAAAGTTGTTAGTTTCTTAAGAAAGGTCTTGCCACAAGTATAACAAAGATGAAGTAGGAAAGCCCTTGCCCGAACCATTCAAAAGTTATGGCCAAGTTAAACATTTTAAAAAGTAGGTCAAACTCCAAGGTCAAGGTCAACGGGTCAAAGTTCTTTATACCCAATGATAGGTCTTGCCACAAGTATTACATAAGTGAAGTACGAAAGCCCCTGACCGAACCGTTCAAAAGTTATAGTTTTTTCATAAGTACTGAAATCTCCAAGATCAAGGTCAAAAGGTCAAAGTTATTGGTATCCAATGAAAGGTATTGCCACAAAGAATACATATGTAAAATATGACAGCCCTAGTATCTACTTCAAGGTCAAAGGGTCAAAGTCCTTTATACCCAATGAAAGGTCTTGCCACAAGTATTACATAAGTGAAATACGAAAGCCCCTGCCCGAACCGTTCAAAAGTTATGGCCAAGGTTAAAGTTTTTTCATTAATACGGAAATCTCAAAGATCAAGGTCAAAAGGTCAAAGTTATTGGTATCCAATGAAAGGTATTGGCACAAAGAATACATACTAGTATGTGAAATATGACAGCCCTAGTATCTACTGTTCAAAAGTTTTGGCCAAAGTAAGAGTTTAAATTTTTTGTGTAAAAGTGGGTCAAACTCCAAGGTCAAGGTAGGCCAAATTTGGTGAAACCCAAAGAGAGGTCTTGTCACAAGAAATACACGTGTAAAATATGAAAGTCATAGCTCTACTAAATCAAAAGTTATGAGCAAGGTTCAAGTTTTTGTGACGGACGGACAGACAGCTATAGACAGACGGACAGACGAATGCAATTTAATGCCCCCTCGCTTTCGCGAAAGCGGGGGACAATAATTGGCAAAGGCAGAGTACATAAAATTCGTCATATGCATTTAAACAATATTCTGGTATAAAATTAATTGAGGTTATACATAATTTATACATAAATTATACAATGACTTCAATGTACAAAAAAGCAAATTCAAAGAATTGTGGTCCCCCGCTTTCGGTGTCTTTGTGTGTGAGATGTCATTTTTTTTAAATGACATATTTTTGTCAGATATGACACCCTATCAAATGTCATTTAAAAATTATCACTGAAGTTGATTTTTTTTTTTTAGAAATAAGGTCAATCGTCAAGGTCAAGGTCAAGGGATCAGTAATCATAGCACCTTCGGAAATATCTTGTCACAAGTAATGCATATGTCAAATATGAAAGCCCTATCTCTTCTCAATATAAGGAACAAGACGTGTTTGTGAAAAATCGATGACCCATATGGCAACAAAGCGAAGATTAAACTTTTCTTAAATGCAAATTAAATATATTATTACCCAAAGTAGGGTCTTCTCACAAAGAAAGAAAAAAAAAACGTTGTGAAATATGAAAGCCCTAACACCACCTGTTCAAAAGTCATGGCCAGGGATAAGTTCTTTAAATGTACGTCAAACTCCAAGGTCAAAGGGTCAAAGTTGTTGGTTTATGAAGAAGGGTCTTCTCACAAGTATTAAATATGTTAAGAATGAAAGCCCTAGCCTTAACCGTTCAAAAATTATGACCAAGGTAAAAGTTTTTTCATAAGTACGGAAATCTCCAAGGTCAAGGTCAAAAGTTCAAAGTTGTTTGTAACAAATGAAAGTTCTTGCCACAAAAAATACATATAAATGAAACAACGAAAGTTCTGTAATCCACTGTTCAAAGGTAATGGCCAAGGTAATAGTTTTAAAAAAGTAGGTCAAACTCCAAGGTCATAGGGTCAATGTTCTTGATATCAAATTAAAGGTCCTGTCACAAGGATCACATATGTGCAGTTTGAAAGCCCTAGCCCTAACCTTTCAGAAATTATGACCAAGGTTAAAGTTTTTAAAGACTAGGTCAAACGTCAAGGTCAAAGGGTCAGAGTTCTTGGTATCCAAGGAAAGGTCTTTTTACAAGGATTACATATGTGAAGTATGAAAGCCCTACCCCTTACCGTTCAAAGACTACGGCCAAGGTAAACGTTTTTTCATAAGTACGGAAATCCCCACGACCAAGATCAAAAGCTCAGACTTGTTGGTACCAATGAAAGGCCTGTGAAAGGCCTTGCCACAAAGAATGCATATGTGAAATATGAAAGCCCTAGTCCTTACCGTTCAAAAGTTATAGCTAAAGTAAAAGTTAAGAATTTCAGTGCAAAAGTGGGTCAAACTCCAAGGTCAAGGTCAAAAGGTTAAATTTGATGGTACCAAAAAAGAGGTCTTGTCACAAGAAATACACATGTAAAATATGAAAGCCATATATAGCTCATCTCAATCAAAAGTTATGGGCAAGGTTAAAGTTTTTTTGACGGACGGACAGCTAGACAGATTGACGGACGGACATATGAATGAGATTTAATGTCCCCTCGCTTTCGCGAAAGCGGGGGACAGCGGGGGACAATAATTATGTAATAATAATACAACAATCATTTCTAAATATCTGACATTTTTAAATAGATAAAGTCGTGTGTCATTTTCAGCATTTCTGGACACTGTTTGTTTAGCAAAGCTTACCTTTTTTTAGCATAAGACATATTTCATGTATTTGAAATTATTCTTTGAAAAATGATCATCAAGTTCCTTTCAACCTTTGATTATTTTTGGCAACTGAATTGAAAAATTAATGAAATTCGTCTTCATTCTCCCTTGTGGTGCAAATATTGTAAAATACATAAACAATTGTATTTGTTTTTGTCATTTTATTTGTGTTGGAGAGGACAATCTATGTTGGAATAGTTTTTGTCCAATCCCATTGATTGTTGATTGATTGTGTTTCAATAAAATATGTTGAAACCCAGAAATGAATCGGGATCGGGATTCGATTTTTTTGACACCTGACAAACGTAAACAACGGTCTGGACCCTGTAAACAAACTGACACGCGCAGAAACTAGTCCTGGGTCATCGAGGGACAAACAACAGGGAAAAAAGCAAGATTTTTTTTTTTTGTTAATTCTTTTTTAAACGAAATAATACTGCTTTCGTAAGTAATACCAAAAGATAAAACAAATATATTTCTTGGATAACCTTCACCAAAGACAAAATGTTAAATAACGATGTGTGCTGTTACAACTTAGTTACTTACGAGAATAATTTATTTCTTAGATTATAGCATATATGTAAGTAACTATGTAACTCGTCTCATTCGGCAGTTTTAGGTATTTGAAGGAAAATGCATTCTGTGGACAGCCCCATTCCCCCAGCAGACCACCATGACAGGAGCAGAGTAACCAAGGTCCTTGACTCGATAAAGAAGGCTATCTTTATACTTGGAACAGCGTGTATCGTGTTTTATGCAGCCAGTAACTCCATTACATGGTTAGTTCAAGAAATTTCTAAATAATATCTATTAAAATAGACTCCTTCACCATAACTGTGCTACTCTTGCAGGGCAAAGAGTTATTTTTGGTGAAATATGACTTGAAGGCAGTTGTTTAGAAACATAATTTTTGCCTGCATCTATCAACAAAAATGCCACTAAATGTTATTAATTTGCCCAGCAGAACAGTAGTACCACAGTTACCGTGAAAGGGCTAATAAGATTACAAAGCAAAATTCACCAAGTAAAGTACAATGTTTCAATAATATTGAGATTTTTTTTTTCAAAGCTCACCTTTGGTACATGTACAAATTATTATCGAATTGCAGTTTATGTAACATTTGTTGTTTATTAAATAGATTAAAACATGCTTATAACAAAGTGCCAGGGATGATCAATTTTACTTCATTATAAGCGTAGTTCTTTAAATTTGTTAAGTTTACAATATATATTCTAAAGTTGAGGGGAATGAAAATTACTTCACTGTAGGTGTCAATTCACTATAGGCTTGTTTGCAACAAGCATGTTTTACTGTTGATCTGATCTTTGGTTTATAACATGACATCACACATAAGGCTTGATTATTCCGAGCATTACAAGACTATTTAATCATGCAAGCAGCAATGGTTAGGAGAAAGTTTTGTTCAAAGCCGTATTGTTCAATTGTTTCCCAAAGAAAAAATGTTAAGAAGGAAAAATGCACATTTATGTATTCATCTTATGATGTTAGTTGTAATTATGAAAATAATATTGTACAATACTATACAACATAGTAGCTTGAGGGAAAATGTAGTATATCATTAGCATATACATACTAGTGTGGCATGTAGTAGGATATACTATAAGAAACTCCTTTATCAAATATAACCATATACATTGTAAACAATTAAACAAGCAATAATTACAGCGTGATGCATTCTTGGAGTTTCTATCTGAAATTCCTGGGTATTTTGTTATATTTGAACTATTTGTGTAGATTGCTGTTTGGACTACCTATAAAACTGGTTCTCCATATAGCTCGGAAAATTCATGTTTTCAGGCATTTACAGAGAATATGGGGTGCATCAGGCAATCTGTGGCAAAAAATATGGGACGGAATTTATCTCAGTTTTGGAGAAAATGATCTATTCATTGGTGTTGCTGGTAGGTTCTGTTTTTAAATTAAAATTCATCTATTGTTATTACTTGATGAATCTTTACTGTAAATCAGACTTGTAAAATTATTTTTGTCACATGTGCAGGGACCTACATTGTAACCATGAGTGTGTTCTGGTTTGCCAACTTCTTTCTCCTTATAATGGAGGTAACCAAGTGGCCAAAAAGTTTGATGAAATATAAGATACAGGAAGAGCCTCTACCAGAGGTAGGTATTAATGTGTAAGATAATGAAAAAGGGGTTTCTTAATTAACTAAATATATGATTAAAGTGATAAAAGCTAGTTCATGTCTAGTAATGGAAGATTTGAAGGCATATATTATAGCTTTTGATTTGCCTGTCTATCAGTCTGTCCACCAAACAAAATATGTAATCTTGGCCATAATGCCTGAGTTGTGTTGTTTAAGTTTTTAATTTATATTTCACATTCATATTCTTTTTGACCAGGCCTTTCTTTTGAAACCAACATTTTGACCTCTTGACTTTGACCTTATAGTATTATCAGGGGTATGTACATTTGGAAAAAAAACAAAATCGTTGCCTTAACTCTTGAATGGTGGTGTTTGAGCTTAAATATTTTACATTTGTATTCCTTATTATAAACATTACTTCAAGTACTTACTTTTTTGACCTTGTGACTGGCCATGACATTTTATATACTTTTTCCTTTGTCATGAGTTGCTACATGGGGACATCAGTGTTTCACAAACACCTCTTGTAAAAAATACTATCAAGAAACTGCTTTTCAAATGTAAGAAGTTAAAGATAATTTTCAAACTTTTTTTGTCATAACATTGTAGAAATAATGCATTATGTTTTACAAAATTTAATACCAGAAACAGAAACCGATGTTGATCAGAGCGATACAAGTAGTGTTGTTTAATCAAACTGTGATCACCATACCCTTCATGTTTGGGATGTACTACTTAATGAAGTGGAGGGGCTGTCACTTCCAAGGGGAACTACCCACCTTTCACTGGTTCCTGCTGGAATTAACAGTGTTCTCCCTTGTGGAAGAGCTCTTTTTCTACTATTCTCACAGGTTAGTGAATATGTTTTTAAGAATTAGGAATTCAATGTTATGACCTTCTAGCTTGTTTTTTGACATCAACAGATATTGAAATTGTAATGAAGAGGTGAAGCTAAATAATGAATATTTGTACCGGTAATTAAAAAATGTTCAATCACTTACAATTAATAATGATTGTTTTCAGACTCCTTCACCACCGAAATCTGTACTCCTACATCCACAAACGACATCATGAATGGACTGCTCCTATAGGCATAATTTCCCTCTATGCTCACCCCATAGAGCACTTAGTTAGTAATCTGCTGCCCCCTGTCTTGGGCCCCTTTCTGATGGGATCTCACCTCTGTTCTGCCTGGCTTTGGTTTTCTATAGCTCTTCTGTCTACCACTGTGGCTCACTGTGGTTACCACTTCCCACTGTTACCGTCACCAGAGGCCCACGACTACCACCACAAAACGTAAGTCACCTTATTAAAAGATCTTTTGTTACTTTTTGTCATGTACTACATGTATAAATAAAATATTGAATTGGAAGGTGACAATAAGTGTATGTTGGGTATAGCTGCATAAATGTTTCTCCCTGGTTGAGAAAATTTAGACAAACATAAAAGCCTCAGAAAAAAGTATAGTAATAAAAGATCTTGCGTTTCAAGAACTATTTTTTATGTTATATGATTTTGGACACCAATAGAATACTATCTGTAAATTACACACATATTGTACTTCTTGTCTTGCTATTTCATTTAATCATTTACCTTTCAATAGTATCAAACAACTCTATGTGGCCTTTGAGTATCAGTTTCTAAAGGTTCTGATATACTCATAACACATCAATGTTTGATTTATGCAATGTCTTATGTAATATATACATATTGTCTTCTTTTATAGGTAATACAGATATTTCACACCCCTCCCCCAAATATTTTACTTGAATGTTTTGGCCTGTGTATTTTCTTTGACAGAAGTATTTTTTTAAAAATAACATTGCAAGTAAACAAAGGAATGAAAGACAGCAAGATAAGAGTAAAATATCAGAAACCAAATAACTACAGATGTGTAGATAATGCATGTTGGGTACTGATTTTATATTGATTATTAGGTTTATTAACAATTTTGGAGTTCTTGGAATCTTGGATCGTCTCCATGGGACAGACACAGCTTTCCGCAACAGTAAGGCTTATCAGAGGCACATTCTTCTATTGGGATTAACCCCACTATCTCAACAGATCCCAGACTCTCAGTCAAAGAAAGCACGGTGATGCTGACCATGTTCCCATGGCTGTCTCAACAAAAGATCTGAAAGTTACCCACCACATCATTTGATGGCACTTAAATTTAATGTTTTGAAGTTGTGAATCTATTTGTTTATAATTATGACATAAAAGTATTATTGTCATGTTTTCTGCGACACTAGTCTGAAATAATTGTAAGGCTTACAATTTTCATGTCATGAATATATCATGAGAAATGATTAGATGCCAAGTGACTACCGAAAAAATTATTGCATGACACATAATTTGGTGTAAAATAAAGAATCATTGCTAAACATTGCAGTAGAGTTCTTCAAACAGCTGTTTTGGTTCATATTTAATTTTACCATTTATTGATACTACAGTAAGAATCCTTCTACTCTGTTTGTGTTTTGTTTAAATTTTTTTACTTGCTTTAATGTTTTGGGAACAAATACATGTATGTAATGTGAATAACGATTGCTTATGATCAAATTTCTATTTCTGTTTTCCTTAACGATATACTTAATTGACATCTTGTGGATGGAAATATCTAATACTCTGATATTGACAAGGTAAAAAACAGCATGATTACATGGTGTAGAAATGCAAGAATTATCGTTTTCTTTCTTATTAACTTTTCCATCAATGCTCTAATAATCATACATGTACAGTATTTCTTATACTTACTTTTAAATATCTGTATTACTATAGTATAATCTCAATTGCTTTCAGGCCTCAGTTTTATAAATAATTTCAATGTAAGCTTTTTTTTAAAAAAAAAATATCCTGATGAAAGCATGAGCTCTGAATTTCCTGGCAATTTATAATTGATAAAAACAAGACTTTTTTATTTAAAAAGCAGACACTAGTGTATGTACTTCTGTATATAAATGTATTTTGCTGATCAAAGACTTCTTTGTCTTTGTCTGGTTATTTATCATGCAGGACACCAGAAAATGTTTTTTTTTTGTTTTGAATTAACAATACGATAAATGAACAACAAAAACAATTTGTGTATCTGTTTTTTCTATCAATTCTTTGTCGTCTAGTCAGTCCCACCATAATTCCGTTGTCTTGAACAGGTAAACAAAATTATTAAATGACAATTTGTTATTAAAAGATAAGCCGATTTTTGTTGAAGAACAAGATGTGTTTTTTGAAACACTGATGCCCCCCTTCCCCCAATGACATCTCAGGACAAAGGTTAAAGTTTCTCAAATGCAAGTCAAACTCTATGCTTAACTTCCTTAAGGTCAAAAGATAAAAAATAATTGTACTTTAAAAAATCTTGTCACAAGAAAAACAACTATGAAAATTGAATACTCTAGCACAAAACCATGAAATTTTTTTTCAACAAAAGACCCAGTTCCGAAGTCAAATGGTCAAAATTGTTGGTACCCAAGGGATGATCATGCCTCAAAGAATACACATGTGAAATATAAAAGCCCTAGTACTAACCATTCAAAAATTTTGGTCAAGGTTGAAGTTTTTAAAAAGTAGCCCAAACTTCAAGGTCAAGTTTAAAGGGTAGAACTATAGGTCTTAGCATCAGCACCTCAAAAGAGAGACGGACGGATAGAACATAAACTTTACACCCCGAATCTTCATGTACGAACAGCCAGAATACTCAGTAGTTTTAACTTCAGCTTATTTATCCGTAGTTTCTCAGTTTAGGAAACGTGCTCTGCGCATCTTATCCATTGGGGGAAAATTATATATTCAACTTTTTTGTCTGTAGTTCCTCAGTTTAGGAAACGCATGTAATCTATTGGGGGAAAACATTATTGCCTTCTAGAGTATTACATCTAAAAATAGAACCAGGTGTCAAACATGCTGCCTTTATTTCTAGTTAATGGAATATATCATATTCACCATAAGAATGAATATTGCCAAATGATAAGACGTCACCAATTTTAATCCGCAAAATGTACGATGTACACCGGGCGAAATATTGAACTGAGCAAACAGCTGAGCGCAAAACATTGGTTAGGGGATGTTTACGTTGATTTAACTTCATTCATTTGGGCAAAAAGCACCGTTTTTTGTGCACTTATAACGATTTCTATACATAATGGTTCGTCGTGTTTTCATGAATCGAACATTCATTCTTCAGAAATAATAGTTCGTTTTGCATCTATCTATTCTATGTTTATTATGAAAAATATCTTTGATTTTATTAAGGTCTTCCGTTTCCAACGGAAGACCTTCTACTGATTCTGATGGTAAAGATTATTATTCTTTTTTTAAGGTCTTCCGTTTCCAACGGAAGACCTTCTACTGATTCTGATGATTAAGATTATTCTTATTATTCTTTTTTTTTTCCTTTTCCTAGACGCCAACTTTGAGGCCTATATTTCACTCATTTCTCAATGGATTTTGCTCAAATTTTCAGAGTTTATAGACGTTACTAAACTCTATCAGAATTTTGTCTAGCATTCCAAAAATTCACTTCCGGTTTTGAGTTATTTCCCTTTAAACGAAAATTTATAGGCTTTCATTTCCAGACAAAGGCTCGGAGATGGCAAAAGCTGGAGCAGAAATTTTACTGATTTTACACAATAGAAGGATTGAAGTTGTGCATAGCCGTTTTTGTTTTTCGATTCCTCTATTCACAACGGTGCTATATAGGGGTCAAAAATTAGAACGCATAAAAGAGCGAAAATTTACACATAGTTAGCTTTTTATCTTCTAAACTATAAATATTTTGTTAAAACATATAGAACAAAATTTGTGCAGAATTACAAGATCATCTCGAAAAAAGGGCTGACCCCTAAATTAAGGGATCTAGAGGGGACAAAATTTTTTTCCAGATATCTCAAAAAGTATTGAGAATTTATAATACGTCCAAGAAGCAAAGTTGTTCAAAATGTCAAGCTTAATCTTTTGAAGTCGTCAAAACGCATCCGACGACGTCACTTCCGGTCAAACCAGAAGTCGTCAGAAAATGCATATTTTTGCGTTCTTGACAAGTGTTTGGGTAACATATGTCACTGGAAGCATAAAACTTTTTTTTCCGTCCGTCGACATCACTTCCGGTCAAACCGGAAGTAGCCAAAAATAGCTTAATTTTTAAGGTTTTGATGCAAAATTGAAATTATAAAGTGACTGGAGACGACTTAGCTCATGTTTTCTTTTGTTGACGTCACTTCCGGTCAAAACAGGACGGAAGACCTACTCGTTGCTTTGCAACGAGCTTTGCTCTAGTTTTCTTCTACTTCCTAGACGCCAACTTTGAGGCCTCATATCTCACTCATTTATCAACGGATTTCGCTCAAATTTTCAGACATTATAGACATTATTAAACTCTATCAAAGTGGTATCTAACATTTCAAAAATTCACTTCCGCTTTTGAGTTATTTCCCTTTAAACGAAAATTTATAGGCTTTCGTTTCCGGATAAAGGCTCAGAGACCACAAAAGCTGGAGCAGAATTTTTACTGCTTTTAGGTAACAGAAGGATTGAAGTTGTGCACATCGGTTTTTGTTTTTCGATTTCTGTATTCACAATGGCGCTATATAGGGGTTAAAAATTAGAACGCCTAAAAGAGAGAAAATTTACACATATTTTCCTTTTTGTCTTGAAAACTAAATATATTTTGTTAAGACATAATGAACAAAAGTTGTGCATAATTGCAAGGGCTTTCATATGATAATATTTAAAAGGGGCTGGCCCCTATAATTAGGGATCAAGGGACCTTGAAAGTTTTTGCTTTATAACTTAAAAACGGTAAATATTTCGAAATGACTATCGATTATAAAGTTGCGCTTTAACATCTTACTGATCTCATGAAATTGTTATTGTGTTTGAGTCTTGTTTTAAATGAGCTTGTGCATGACCTATATATGCACAGGTAATTCTTTTCACTCAGCACGTAAACGAGAGCTCCTCGTGCGTGTAATAATTTCCGAAGCAAGCTTACTAATAATAAACATGGCTACATTGGATGCTAATATTCTTCAGAATAAAGTTCTCGAAGTTTTTGTGCTTTTTTCCTTACAAATTATCATGTTTATTCACTGACAACTTTCCATTTTATTTTATTTTTTAAAAAATCGTATAAACCAAGTCTACTAAAAAGGGAAGAAAATATAATCTTTTGTTCTTATCACATAAAAGCGAACAATATAGTGAGAAAATAAAACAGCTAAAAAACACATATACTATTCACAGCCATTAAGTGCACGGCTTTAACATTCACCTTGTTTGTTTACAATTATATAACGCGCCTCCCTCGATAGAGGCAGGGCAAAGTCGGTCACCGGGAATCAATCGGCGTGTGATCCAGCGACCTACAGTCATCATGGTCATATACACAAAAAATAAACCACCACAGAATGGTTAAATTAATTCTTGATAAAATTGTTCCTTTTTATAAATATCTGTCCCATGAAAATTTTATTTTGTTCGTGTCTTACGTATGGTAGGAAAGAAAGCTAGATCCGTATTCACCGTAAACAAGGCTCCGTTCTCATTTTGATATTGAAGAACTCTTTATGCGTATAATTGAAATAAACTTGCCGTAAGTAATAAATATTTTACCACGCTGTATCATATCTCTTTTTTAAATTAGGTTTTAAACGTGTTCTTTGTTTCCCGTTCAGAGTATTCGATGGAATCATTTTTCTTTTATTAATAAAGATCTCTCCAAGAAAAGGAGTTATAGAAAAAAGTACGAGTATCTTATATTCGTTTGAATATAAACACAAACAATTTGAACGGAAACAATATACGCCCGGATTTCATAGAAAAAACTTTTAAGAGTCAAATAATACACAATTATTTACTGCGCGATTCTCATATTCACCTGGAACCCTGATTCTAAGTGTGTCTACCATTACGTAATCCATCTTTCGATTACACTAGGCCGAGAAAATTCTAAAGCGACACACCGTGGTGAACCATTGACCCCGCAGTCATAGGCAAAATAATTGGTATATATATATATACAAACCATTCTACAACAGTAAGAAAATATTATTTTCTCTAAGTAAATTAAATCTTTCAAAAATATCTTAAAATGTTTTAGGTTTGACTTTAGTACAAAACGCTGGGGCATTTAATTTACATGTACATTAATCAGTCTTCAGTTCTTAAATATTCATTAGCTCCATGTGTAATTTGACGATTCATAGCGCAAGGACTGGCGATCTGCAGTTACTTTACTTCAACCAAATATTTATCAAAATGCACAAGCTTTGCTCTTTTCATACACAAATAAATCTGTTTTCAACACAAGTTTTCCGAAACACATTTTTTTTTCATCACAGATATTAACCATAGCTATACCAATTTTAAACTTTTAAAGAGAATCTTCCGAATCGTAAGGATAGAATTATACTCAATGAAATGGACTAAACATCGATAAGTAACACCGGCACGTGTAAACTTCATAAGTGACTTCTGTGCTGCACACTGTCTATTAATTTATATTACAGGTTTTATAGTAAAGTTCAAGAAATAATGATTTTAAAGCAATCAACTAAATTTGTTTTATAATTTATTCAAAACCCGTATAAATGATTAGTATAGTGTGCCAACATTGTAATTTTGTTCCGTGATTAAATATCAGTAGCAGGTTATACAATGTACATTCAAGTAGTAATAAACCCTCATATGTCCAGATTCGAAAATTTAAGAACTTATATACCGGGGTAACAATCTTATCTGAATAACAGACTTATCATGTAATTATGCGCTTTTACAACCTAAATTAAACTGTTAAAATCATAACCGGCACAAAAGTCAAACCATTTGTATCGTTTACCGTATATAACTCAGTATTTTCTTTAAAATGATGAACTTATATCCAGCGCAAATTACTTTCCTTCGTTTAAAAAATACGCGTACGAGAGAGCGAGTGAGAGGCATTTTATTCAAGTACATTCAAGTTTTTACCAGCGAGTCCCTGTATCAAGTATTGTTTAATTTTTATTCTATTAAACATAATCGACCTTTCCTATTTACATTTAATTTATTTGATGATTTTATTCAACTTCAAGCACAATATCA